ATATATATATATATATATATATATATATATATATATATATATATATATATATATATATATATATATATATATATATATATATATATATAGTAAGTATTCCCCTTTATCCACCGGTCCTTAGCCAGAGTAGCTTAACCTTCCGATTGTACTTTAGATTGTCCCCCCTAAATGTCACGACATGTACTTTGCCATACGAGCCTTCTGACGGTTCGACCTCGGCCATGGTTGAGATGCCCGTCGTTATGGTGCCTTATGGGTACGACCACGGCTTAATCGACCCCTCGCTATTCCTTTTTGCGCCGATCCTCGTATGGTCAGATTTTGACCCATACAGATAGTCCCTCCGCCTATTGAAGTCGTCTTTGGGAGAGTTCGATGGGCGGACTTTGTCGATAAGAAAACTTGTGAGAGATCTGAGCACCTTGGGCAATGGGTGAGTACCTCATGGCGAGGTATCGACGTGACGTATTGGGAGTTGCACAAAACCGTCTCGTCAGTTCAGAATGTCATTAAAGCTCATCATGTGTCATTATGGCGCATGTTTTCTATGTATCGCATCGTTTCCCGTGCCCTTTTCATTTTCAAAATGGCGGTGTTTGGCTTTCCCGCTCAGGGTGCTTACACCCCAACAAATAGGGGAAAATCTTTCATTTGAATGATGTGCTTCCCAATCGCTCAAGAAAGATTTTCGCAGCTTTTCTTCTTCTTTTCAGTTTCTCACATTCCCTCCTCTGTAAAAAATTCTTGTGGCCTTTACTTTTTTCCTTTACTGTTCCCGATTCTCGCAATCAAAAAAGAGATGGCTAGTGTATCCTCTAAACCTGATAGAGCCATTGATGTTCCGGTGCCGGAAAACGATATACCCCTACTCGAGGAGAGAGAGGAAATGGCGGAGGACAAAGGTCTTTCGACGGTGGATGAGGTGGTTCCCCGCCCAGGGAAAGCGAGGACTGACTTCAACAGCCCTGTTGGGGATGAGCCGGAACCTATTTTTTCCACGATTGATGCTGCGGCGCTCATGACATTCAAAGCCAAATGGGGGATCCCCGGTCATATTGAATTGGTTCTGGCGGATCAGGACATATTACATATTCACCGTCCGGGCTACTGCGCGTTTTATGCGTATCCATTTGTCATCGGGTACACGCTTCCCCTTCGCTCCTTGACGGTGCACTTATGCCGCTTCTATGAGGTGTGCCCGGCTCAACTCTCTCCGTACGTGTACAAGCTCTTCCTTATGCTCATCAAGTACGCGGAGCAGGCCGACCGAGGAATTTCATTACAATATATGCTTTACCTCTTTGCCCCCCATTTTCTGAGGGGCTCGATGATTTACGTGCGTCACCGGGGAACCAAGGGTTTGGTGGTGAAGATGTACGACAAGGCAAATCGTCGCTTTTAGGAGAACTTCTTCTACGTCCGAACAGAGCACGTGGTGTCGAACCCGGTGGGGTTTCCTAAGACGTGGAATTTCGCTCGTTGGTCTTTCTTTCTTTTTACTTTATACATTTTTTCTTAAGATGGTTGTCAGTCGTCTCCCTTTAATGACTTCGTCGAGCGTTTGCTTTTGTTTTTGCAGTCGAGAGGGTACCTCCTCCACTAGTTGCTAACATTCGCGAATGGGTGAGCGCGATTCTTCCCCATACAATGGGGATTCGTGAATGGGCACCTTTCCACGAGAGGTTTGGGCGCAAGCCTCCTGCTGGTGAGTCGGCTCGTTGCAGTCTATGTTGCTTTGTTCTTTGCTCCGTAATTTATTTTATCTTATCTTTGTTTGGTTGAATCTCTTCTCATTGGCAGGTCGGAGGGGAGTGAGAAGGGCTAGGGATCCTGCGCTCGTTTTCCGCCAGTCGGCTTCCTCTGCCCGGCCCGCTCCAAGGGCAACTGGGATGAGGGAATCCAGGGTCTGGTTGTTCGCTTTTCGCCAGCCGAACCCGTTCGTTTGGATATTTCTCCTCGGTCGGATATTCTAGTTCCCACAGTCCTTTCAACGGACAAACCTTCCCGCAACAGTGGCGAAGAGGCACCATCAAATAGGCGGATGTTGTTATGGAGGGCGTCTTTGGTTAAGACGTTCTCGAGGGACGACCCTACTTTGGCGGTATCTGAAGCTGGCGATGATACTGGCGGGGGTGTGGAGGCGATGCCTATTTCGGTTGTAGAAAAGACCACCGTGGTAGGGGGACAGAGTTTGGGGCCTGCCGCGATTGTTCCGAGCGATCCATCGTCGTCCCGGTAGGGTCGCACCCCCTCTTCGGCTAATGAGAGGTCGAAGGGCGTGGTGGTGGATGATTACAAATCTGACTTCGACATCGATATTGAGAACATGGGGATGTTCCGGGAAGGCTTTACCAGGGTCGATGTGAGGGCGGAAGGTCCTTCTCGTGTGCTGGAGATTCCATCGGATTTTAACCAGTTGGAGGACACGGTGGAGTTGGTGCCGCAATTTGACCTTCTGTGCTCCACCGCTGAAAGTGAGTCTCTTCGGGAGATCAATGATTCCTCTTTGTCACGTGGTGTGGCCGGGATGGCCTTGAGGGTGAGTTTCCTTTCGCCATTTTCTTTGTTTTATGCCATTTTGCTTTCGCTGATTCCTCCCCTCTTTTTTTTAGACATACATGCTGGAGATCGAAAGTGCTCGTAGAGCTGAGACGAGGGCCGATATCTTTTTGAAAATGGTCGCAAAGTATCGCCGGTATCGCAACAGGTGCCGTGAGATGCATGCGCAACTTAGGGCGGGCGGTAATACTCAATCCGTTAGGGAGGCGTTCGAGAAATCAGACGAGGAACTGATGCGGTCTATTCACAGATGCAACGAGCTCGAGGGGTTACTCAGTGCCAAAGACGAGGAGCTCGAGGTGGGCAAAGGGGTTGCAGCGGAGTGCAAGGATCTTCAGGCGAATGTGCTGTCTTTGCGGGTTGAGCTTGAGCAAAATGCTACCAGAGTCGCCAATATGAGTGCAGAATGGACGGAGAAAGTGGCTGAGCTAGAAAAGAATGTGGCCAAGTTGGAGAAAGCCGAGGGGCCACGAGTGGCGGCTTTGGCGAGGACAGCGACGCTGGAAGATACTATCTGCGTCCTCAGGTCTGAGCGGGAAGCCGAGAGGGCGACGGCCGCACTGGGGAGGCATGTGACTACCCAACCCGTTGTCTCATGTGTTACCGCCCCGTTTCCCCATTTATTGCTTCTTCATGTTTCATTATCGGCATTTGGTAAGTTAGAGTCGAATCGGTTTGGTTTTGGTAGAAAATGAGACATTTAGTCTCTTTAAGGAAGGC